GAGGGACGATTATGGTAAATGGGAAAGCTAAAATAGGAAAACATTGTTTTTGGAATCATTATAAAATGGGAAATAAATGTAATTTCACAATCAAATTTGATTGAATCTATTGAATTTGATTGGTTTATATACCCAATCACTCAACTTTAATTAAATTCCAATAAATTTTTATGTTCACATTACTAAAATTAACAAGATTGCAAAATTAAATAAATTCTTATTCTAGAATTTTGAGTGAGAGGTACTCTAGGTCTAGGAAATTAACAAAATTAAATTACTTATTATTTTACATTTTTAAACTAGATTCCATTTTATTAAAATTAAATTATTTATTCTTTTATAACTCTTCAAAAAAAAAAATAACTTATAAATTAAATCAATTCTCAATTATATGATTCTAGACATAGCGGAAGTAATGAACTTTAATGCAGCATTCAATTATAGCTGATGTTCATTCTTGGGTTATAAGGAGTTGGAATGGATGCGCGCATGCACGGTTGATATTATTGGCATATATATATATATATGGAGACAATGCATCGATCAAGTTGTTTATTTTTAAGTATTATTAATTGTATCCTCTTGGTTAAGTTTGTGTTGTATTCTTTTTTCTTTTCTTTTTTCTATTTTTGCACATAGTTTGTGTTGTATTCTTACCTTAGATAAAACGACTTATTCTCTCGTAAGCTTCATTCGTCAAAAGAAAATATTCCAATATTGCTATAATTTTTAATTAAGCACTACAAATGATAAATGGAATGACTGTTTTAAATTATTTTCAGCTCGATGGACTTTAAGACAAAGCAAATATATTGAGCATTGCATATTTTTTCCATGAAAGAAAAAAACTATAATTAAAATGAACTTGGTTGAATTACTTTTAGAATATTTGGTGGTTGGGATAGGTGAAAAGTGAGATAGAAGGTCAGTATAATTTATGATAATGACTATTTGTCTATTATCTTATATACCAAAATTGTATGATAAACTATTTTTATTTGGTTTACAATATGCCCTTTTGTGGCATATGTCATATATAGTCTTCTGACAATTTGTTTGAAATTATTTAAAAACTATAAATCTGTTCTGAAATATAGAAGAACTGAAAATCATTAATTTCAACTTTTATTTAAGGGAAAAATTTACTCAAAAATCAATCATTCGTATTTTAAAACATTTTATAAAATTAAAAATCTATTTAATAAAAGATAGGCCTTTTAATTATCGAAGTACAAATCAGGAAAAAAATTGGGAATTAATATATGTGGAAGATAAATTGTTGAAGTGGTATATCACTTTTCGCATGTCATCCGCAAATAGGGTTGGCAAAATGGGTCAACCCGGCTCAACCCGCATTCAACCCGTAAAAATCGGGTCGGGTTAGGGTTGGCTCGAAAAAATAAACGAGCCAGAAAACCCAACCCGAGCCGGGTTAGGGTTGGCTCGCGGGTTGGCTCGATAATCAGCTCGCGAGTTGGCTCGGAAAAAAGCTCGCAGTTGGCTCTAGGAGAAGGAAGAAGATTCTGAAGAAGAGAAAAAATTCTAAGTGTTGAGCGCTAAAACGTTCATCCAGAACGTTTTAGCGCCCTGCTACAGAAAGAAGCCAAAAGATGCTGGTCTGGAGCGTTAAAACGTCCATCCAGAACGTGTTAGCGCCCTGATGCTGGAAAATGATTATGGTCTTCAGCGTTAAAACGCTCAAACCAAACGTTTTATTTTTTTTAATTTAAAAAAAATACCCAACCCGCGAGCTGGCCCGTTTAACCCGAGGGCTGGCTCGTTTGGGTTAGGATTGTATCGGGTTGGCAGCTCATTTAGGCCAACCCAACCCGACTCATTTAGGACGGGTTGCGAGCCAACCCGACGGGTTGGCTCGTTTTTGCCAACCCTATCCGCAAGGGCAAACTCTTCTTCTTATGTTGTGATTTACCAAAAAAAAAAGAAGAATCAATTTTTAAATATATTTTTCTTAATTTGAATGTAGATTTATTAAGACCATTGACACAGCCTAGCGTTTTGTAGGGAAATGGGAGAGGGGTTTCAAACATCTAAATTCTTATGTTCATTTGACTTACACCTCAAGTCTCTTGTCCCTTTTTGATTGAAAACGTTTTTGATATTTGGGAGGCAAATGCCACCGTAGCCTATGAAGCACCGACACTTCAAAAATCTTGACGTGTCATGTCTGACACTTTCCGACACTCTCGGACACTCTGACACTCCCCGACACTTCAACACGCGGTATAGAAATTCAAAAAAAGGTTTAAAGGTTGCGTTGCGTTGAGTTTTTAGTTCCAACTATTAGATTCGTTGGATTACGATTACTATTTTATTGAGTTTAATATAAATATTTGGGATATCTTATGTTTATTTGCAAAATTTATGAATATTATAATTTTAGATTCATTTTTTTGTTAAATTATTGAATATTAAATATAATATACACTACATAAATTAAAAATTTTAATTAATATCAAAACGTGTCCTAACGTGTCGAAATCTAACATTTTTAAAATTAACGTGTCGGAATGTCGTGTCGTATCGTGTCACGTGTCTCGTGTCGGTATCGGTGCTACATAGACCGTAGCCCCTCTCTAACATCATCAATCAATAAGATATTTTTTATATTTTAAATTATTTATAATGCTAGAAGTCTATAGAATACCAATTGTAAGTATATATATGTTGTATTGTTTTAATTATTTTTCTTATTAAATTTATTTTGGAAAAATTAACTATATTTTCTAAATAATTTCACTTGATCAAATCATGATAATGAGACTTCATTAAAAATTTAATACGTTATTATTATTATTAAGATTTATACAAAATATATCAATTTTAATAATACATATAAATAAAGTAGGGGAGAGTTATATGTACAAACTTTTTGCTTACAAACTATATTATGTACTCCCAAAAATACACTAGGTTACAATATGTATTTCTGGGAGTATATAGTGTAATTTGCAAAAAATTTATAATAAAAAAATTATACATGGATCTTTTCTCAAATAAGTAATAAGATTTTGATAAGAAAATAAATTAATTTTTTAAAATACATATTTTTAAAGAAATTATATTAACATGTAAAATATTACTATAATATACCTAAGATATTAATTTAAGTTAAAAAAATAATATTTATATTTATATATTTAAAACTTGATTAAAATATAGGATTTTATTAATCTCATATTAAATGAGATAAGTTATCTCATGTCATAGAGAAAACTTGTGGGTTCCACTACCTTAAAAAATGAAAAAGGTGACACAATTATCGAAGGATGTGTAGGAGAAAAACTTATCACATGTAATATAAGAGTAGTTTTTTCCTAAAGTATATGCAGAATCTAAATTTTAAAAGAGGCTCAATTAGTTTTGAGCTAAGCTTTTGGTTGGGTCTTTAACACTGTTAGCCCATTCTGTGAAACATGTGTGCAACCTTAGCCCACACGCCAATTACACCTATTGAAAAAATCAAATCAAGGGACAGATTTCAAAGGTGAAAAAATTAATTCCATCTCTGATAAAGATTGAAACTGAGATGGATAAGGAAATGTTAATTTCACTTGTTTGGGAGGGAATTAAAGAAAAAATTCAAGATACAATACAATTCATTTCTAACAAATTGTTATGAAATTAAAATTTGTTTAGAGACATAAGAAACTTTCATCTGTAAGTGATATATACTACTCTTTTAATTCGAAATAAGGATAGAAACAAAATAATTTCATCTCAGGTAAACATTAATTTTTAAATTTTTTATCTGAATACTAACATAAAAAAATTAAATTAAAAAATCATCTCTAAATACATTACTATTTTTTGATTTTTTTTCCTATAAAAAAGGTTTGAGATGAAAGTTGATCTCTCTCAAAATCTGTTTCTTTCTTTTAAAAATTATGTCTGGGACCCAGAAATTTTTCTTTATTTCTGCATGGTTAGTGGTGGGGTTGTGCTGCCCCCGAATTTTTTTTTAAAGAATTTTTAAATGTATTAAAAAATAAAAGAATATAAAAAAGAAGAGAAAAGAAAACTATTCACATATATCAAATTTTGTTATTTCAAACTATTTCACGCATATCTCATTTTTTATAAATGCTATTTTAAGTTAGAGTAAAGTATTCTTTTGGATCCTCAACAAATATTACGGAGGCCAATTTAATCTCTTAAATAAAATTCGCATCGTGGTCTCCTCTGAAATTCAAAATAGACCTATGTTATTCTTTTTGAGAGACTAACGTGAGTCTTATTTGAATTTCAGATGGACCACGATTTCAACTAATTATATCTATTTTGAATTTCAGATAGATCATAAGTCGACTTTTTTCTAACGAATTAAAATGGGGCTGATGACTTTTGTTGAGAATCCAAAAAGTATTTTACTCTTCAAACTATTTCACATGAAAAAAAAAATTGGTAATTGCACACATAGACAAAACCATGTAGGTCTGCCACTAGTGATCCTATGGTGATTTGACTATCTATCATCAATATTGTCCTTGATTGACATCAATAAAACTCTTGTTGAGACAAGAAGACTTGGAACCAAAGATATAACACAGTAAGAATGAAGAACTACTGGTAGGTTACATTTTAACTTCTATTAGGTGCATGGTGGGCTATTGCAAAGTTTAATTTGCAATTATAGTAAATTCTCTTGTCCGTCTCATTAGGGTCCAAAAAAGATGATGTTCCAAATGTTAATTTCCTTCTCAGACATCAAGAGTATATCTACATAAGTGTGTGCTTGAGGATCATTTAATGTCATCGATCTTGAGGGGTAAAACTATTAAAAAAATCATATTTGGACTTTGAAAAATGTTTAATTTATCAACAAAATTTAATGGCAGAGAGGAGTCTGCTTCGCATTTGCTGATGATGTATTGTGCTGGCTTTATGGATATATGCAACATTAACCTCAACAATATTTTTATCCCAAATTAGTTAGGGTAAGTGGCAATAAACCCAAATATACTAAGATAGAGAATTAAATTAAGATCAAATATACTACAACTCTCATAAATGAATGCTCAAATAAATGGGCATTTGGATCAGAATTACTAAAGATGACATAATTCATTACACCAACATCAAGCAAGGGCAGGGTCACATGCCACATTATATTAAATGGGGAATGGTACCACCACATTATTTAATAATCACCACATACTTCAATTGCATAACCTCTATGCATTTTGAATATAGGCATCCACTTCTAGGAAGTTCTTAACAGCAAATTCTTTGATGATAGTTGGATCAGGAACCTCTTGGCTAGCCTTTTCGTACTCAGCGGTCCATTTAATCTCGCTTCCCTCTCCAACGGGTGTTACTGTGATGTGTCCCTTGAATTTTTTGTAGTACTGAAGAAGATCTCCATCAATCACAGCATAAGTAACTGTCTTCTTTGCATCATCAGCAGCCTCAATCTTCTCTACGGATGATTTCACAATTGCTGAACCTGGACCATTAACCACCACAGAACATATCAAAATCCAAAGAACGGAATTTCTTGTTCTAACATTTGCTTTAATCTTTACCCTTAATTTTTGTTTCAGTTTGTGCTGACTTAACTAGTGACTCCATAAAGACTTTGATACCATGATAACCAATCATTTTAATCTGTAAAGGATTATTTCAACTCAAAATCTTAAGGTGATTGGACGAGGGCTTTTTTAATAGTTTATATTATTCTCTAATATACACATTCTTATGCAAGAGCCTTTTGGGCTTAAAGCGTGAATATTATACAGACTCAATTTTTTGTTTACCGTAATTACTGAAGTTCTGATACCATGTAAAGAACTACCTCAACCCAAAATTTTAAGGTGTTGAGTGATGATCTTTTTAATAGTTTATATTATTTTCTAACACAACCCAATAATATGTTAATGGGTTCATTTTTTTTGCAGTTAATGTATATAAATTATCTGCATTGAGTCTAAAACGACGTCGTTTTGAGACGGAAATCAAGGTATTTTTGTAATTTTAATTTATTTTAGGGTTATAATAGTCTTTATAATTATAATTTTTTAATATTTCAACACCAAAACGATGTTATTTTTGGAGTAAATGCAAATAACCTATCTGCAGTAACTGCAGAAATATTTTTCTTTCTGTATGTTAATAGCCAAATAAAGTAAATAAACAAAGTAAATAAACAAGTCTACAGCTAGCATGGTTATGAAAAGATTAAGGGGAGTTGAAAATTTTAGGCATAACTCAAATGATTACTGAAAATTGGACTAAAATTTTCAAATATCAATCGCCAAACAGGGTTATAACAAGGTTATATAACATGAAACAAGTAAGAAAAAAAACAACCCTTCAAAAAAAATTAATAATAACTTATCCTTCATGGGAAGAAGAAAGTTTTTACCATCAGCATAAGTTATGTGACGGACAGAGCCAGCAGCCTTGCCATCACCCTCAAGAATCTCAATGCTTTTGTAATCATGTGGGAAGGCCTTTGGGAATATAGTGGTAGAGTCCCTAATGATTTGCCAGAACTTGTCTGCACTAGATTTGAGCTCAATGTCTACCTCAAGCTTTCCACGGGTTCCCATGGTTTATCAACTAGAAATATATCAAAATGGAGGTATATTTATATAATATAGATTGATATGTTATGAGAACATAGGATTGCGATCCCGTATATATAATTGTAAAAACACTTATGATTCTGGAACAAAGCTATAAATTCATTAGCTAATAGTTCAACTGCCACTTTATGAAGCTTCACCTAACTTTTCGTGTGAAGTTAATACCATTCGCCGTCAATGAATTTTGGGACCCAATCACTGATGTTCCAATTTTGACAATACAATAACTTGTGTGTTATGACAGTCTTTCAATTTAGGGGTATTTCAGTTTGTTTTAGCTCAAAGACTGCTCCTTATTTTGAATCTAACAATACCATACCATAATCAAAAGGTACAACGTCCCGAGCGACCAGACTTGACATAAATGTAGCCACTTGAGAGAAATTAGCACTACTAAGTGGTCGCTCATCCAACATACTCAATATTCTTTACTAGAATTAGTTGAGTATTCGATAAATTGATGAAAAAAATTCTATAAAAAAAACACACACACAAAAAAAACGTTTTTCTTAATTCCAATAATCGCTCTTTTATTTTTTTGTTCCCTCAAAAAGCACTTTTTTTATAAACCACAAGTATCTTCAAAGGGAGACAATCATGTTCGGGACAGATCAGTATTAAGACTTTAAACTCCTTCCAAAGATAATATAAAAAGGATTGAATACGTACTCTCACCCCCAACCTACTCAGTTCTCATACACTACCGTTAAAGCACCTTTTTGCATGTTAGGAAAGATATTGCTTTTTATTAAAGATAGAATCTAAAAATAATGAGGCAGAGAATTAATATTATTGAGCGTTTTCTTTTGAGCGTGTGGCCATTTTTTTTTTGTTTTCCCGGTAAACAGCGTGAGACCAATTTTAATAAGGTTGCCTTTCTCTATAACTGCTTTTCTACATACTCAAACCCCTAATACTATAGCTTAAGCTTACTAACCGTGTAAGCTATTTATTATGATTGTTAAGTGTTATTTAAATTATTATTTCGATTATAATTTTTTAAAAATGCGAACAAACTAATTAGTTAAATGAAGATTCCTTTGGCAGTTTAATTTTTGTGATATTATCGTTATCTTTTTAAATTATTAGTTAACTTCAATTACATGTTTTATTTTGTATTTTAGATAAATTAGACTTGTTGTTAAATAAAATTACTAATTGCTAAGAGATATAAATATCCCAGAAAAGTAAAAAAAATACAAAAAATCTCATAATTATGTATTTAAAATTTAAAACAATTATGCACATGACATAATAAGTAGTGATTTGTGAATAAATAATTAAGATTTTAATATAATCATGTTAAATTAAGATGTCACAGAATGTCAAAGGATCAAATGACTGAAGCAGCTTGTGGAGGGCTTCTTCGTGATCACATGAAAGTTTGGCTAGGGGGATTTGCTGCAAGAATTGGTCACTGTCATCCTTTATAAGCAAAATTGTGAGGTGTGTTAAAGGGCTGGAGCTAGCTTGGAAGGCAAGATGTAGAAATGTTTTGATTGAAAGTAAATGTCAAACAGTCATTGCATTATTTTCTAACGAAGGCAATGAAGCTCATGTGTCCCACCTAGTGACTCGAATATGAACATTTGTTAGTTGTCAATGGAGTGTTTAGTTTATGCATGTTCTTCGGGAGGGCAACCAATACGTAGATTGATAGGCAAACTATCTATTCGTGCATCTGGAGTTACCCGATGACGCTCACTTTTCTGACCCCCCCCCCCCCCCCCCCCCCCCAAAAAAAAGACTATGGTATCATCTTCAGGCTGACAGTATGAGTGTGATTTTTGGTAGACGTGAGCAGACTCGTTAGGAGCATACGTGAGTAGGCTTTTTGGGAGATTTGAGAACTGGTGGAACTAAGTTATGGTCAGTATATCTTAATCAAAAAACAATGATATTATGTAGTAGTAAATTATGTTCGATCATCTCATTTTTTCTAATAAAAAATGGGTTTAAGTTCAACTAATTGAATTGATCGACCATTGCATTTCATAAATACTTTTATATAAATTTATATGGTTTTAATGTTCTACAGTGAATGTAAATAAGTTATTTACATTCGCTCCCTAAATGATTTCGTTTTTGATTGAAAAATTAAAAAATTATCATGAAAAATACTATTATAACCATGAATGAAATAAATTATAATTACAAAAATATTTTAATTTCTGCTTCAAAACGACGTCGTTTTAGGCTTAATGTAAATAAGTTATTTACATTAACTGTAGAAAAAGTGAACCCAATTTATATAGTTACATTGTCGGAATATTTTGATAATGATATTGAGTTGTGTTACGAGTCCCACATTGGTTACCTATATAATTAATGTGGGGTTTATAAAGTCTTGGGTACTTCCATCCTTTGAGCTAGCTTTTGGGATGATGACCTCAAGGTTTATAATTGATGCTTTCTTTGAGAGTTGCACTTATAGAAAGTCCTACTTATAGGCTAAATTAAGGCGTTGTAACAAGTTGTTGAAGCTGAAATCAAATTTTAATAACAATACTCAATAACTTCACATGTTGTAACGAAAAATAAATCAAGTTTAATTTTGATGTAATTTTAATATAAAGTTTTTATATTATTACCCAATATAATATTAACACCTTATTCAGTGAAATTAATTATTTCAGCAACTGCATAAAATATTAAACTTATTAAATACTGAGATAACACATTATTATTGAATTGTAGGTTTTTACTTTTTTCTTTTTTGGTGCATTAAAAATAAATGCCGAGTATAAATCCCTTTTATCACCCACTCAATGTTGAATTGAATTTATTCTGAAATTAATTTTAGCTATAACAACATTGTCGGTGGTATCAAGAGGACCCTGCAATGAGTTGAATTTCGAAGGTGATGATAGTGAAAGTGCAACCAAGGGTCATAACTCCGAAGAGCAATTTTCGGTGCACGACAGTCGCCATAAATACCCTAAATTTTCACAATTTTAACATGAGATTGAGAGGATTATACTATAAGAGGATCCATATCTCTGTATGTATAGTTGGTAATGGTTAGCATATGAAGCCCAACAAGTACAAAAACTTCAAGGCCTATTTAGTGGAAAGCCCAAATGACCAGGACTAAAATATCTTAACTTTCTTCTCACATGAAACCCAACAAGGACAACAACCCATAAGCCTATGGCACGTTTAAGCAAGATGCACAAAGGACCCTGAAATATCACTTTTTGTAACCCAAAATGAATTACAAGTTTATAACTTTAATTGATATGGCCGAAAACCTAAAAATAATAACAAGTATGAACTATTTTTCTTTTTAGTAGATACAAGTATATTATTTTGGGCATTCCATGTCATGTTCACATAACCATTTCATGCCAATCCCATTCTTCCCTGTGCCCAAAACCAAAACCACATTTCTCCGACGAACTCCAAATGAAATGTTAGGAAATAAGGGAGGGGCAAGTGCCAAAAATTGTGGTGAAAAACCAGAATAATACACCCAACTCCATATTCATTTTTTCTACTCTTGCCACAGATTTTCAGGTGATGATGGTAACTGACAAAAAGGATATTGGCTATTGGGTCCCCACATTGACGATCATGGACTATTTTATTGGTCCGAAAGATAATATTCTTCAAATGCTGATTATGATAGACTTTAATAGTAACAATGACGGTTGCACCACACAAAAGAAAGAGTTAGAAACAAGGTAACAACAGTTTTTGTGATGAAGAGAACAAATGAAAAGGGCATCTCAACCTCCACTTATTTTCAACATGTAAACGGTAAAACGTAAATAAGATAATCAACATGGAGAAAAGAGGCTGCAGTTTCCATTTCACTATCAAACAAAGCACCCACACCCCTACTAGTACTACATCCCAACAATAGGTAAGCAAGCCGTAGTACCTACTTTTCTTTTCAGAGCTTTCTCTTTGCCTTAAAGTACATATCTGTGTCTCTCTCCTTGTGTTGTTGGAAGATGTTATGCTAAGTATTCTTCTAATCTAACTTCACTTGCTCTATACGTACTCCATAGGGATTCCCATGCTATATCAAAATACTTTTATGTGGGAATAATAGCTCTCTCAATCACATGCCAACTATTCCAAAGTGATTTAGATCAACCTCCCACCCCCAAAGTCGAATCAAAAAAGTGATTTACCTCAAGTTTCTTGGTGTAACACACCGGCATCTCTGCGGGTGTAACGGAATTAGTGATCTGTATCCAATTGCATGTTTCATTTGTTATAACCTGACATTTCAATCCTTAAACAGAACACATAAGATTAGAGCAGCCAATCATGCCATTTGGTTTGGTCTCGGCCTGGAACAAGCGCCGCAGAAGCAAGTCTCAAGATCATACAGACCCCTGTATTTTCTTCTTCTTTTTCTTCTTCTCAGGCTTTAATCATGTAATGAATGTTGCTTCATTGCACAACCAACTTGTAACTTTTACTCACTCTATTCAGGGATTTACAAACCTGCACAGCTTTGGCAACTTGAAGATCAAACACCACGACCAACAAAAAGGCTGCATGGATCATTTGTTTTCACACTCAAGGAGATGGAAGAGGCAACATGTTCATTCAGTGATGAAAATTTGCTCGGAAAAGGAGGATTTGGCAAAGTCTACCGGGGCACTTTGCGGTCAGGAGAGGTAACACGCTCTTCATATAAATTTATATATAGCCCACAGGAATTCATCATAAATCTCAAGATTATGTAACATTACTTGTAGCTTCCATACAGAACCCATGCTTCTAATAAAATGGCTCAAAATTTGTGATTTTGATACAAATAAATACATACTTATATAATATGACTCCCTCTAAAGGTTGTAGCAATCAAGAAAATGGCGCTGCCAGCAATTAAAGAAGCAGAGGGGGAACGTGAGTTCCGTGTAGAAGTTGACATTTTGAGCAGACTGGACCACCCAAATCTCGTTTCTTTGACAGGCTACTGTGCTGATGGAAAGCATAGGTTCCTAGTATACGAATATATGCATAATGGGAACCTACAAGATCATTTGAATGGTTTGTCATGTACCCAAAATCCACTCTACTGTCAGAAATTGTTAAATCAAGTTTCTATTAATCTACACCTAATTTTAGGAATTGGGGAAAGAAATATGGATTGGCCTCTAAGACTCCAAGTGGCACTGGGAGCTGCAAAAGGGCTAGCTTATCTCCATTCAAGTTCTGATGTTGGAATTCCTATTGTTCATAGAGATTTCAAATCGACCAATATTCTCTTAAATTCAAACTTTGAAGCAAAGGTATAAACAAACACCCGATAATGACTTCTAAAATTTCCTTCTTACAATAATATTTTACAGAGCTGAAATTAACGGTCTTTTTGTAGATATCTGATTTTGGGCTTGCCAAGTTAATGCCAGAAGGACAGGAGACACATGTGACTGCCAGAGTGCTTGGTACCTTTGGCTATTTTGATCCTGAGTATACATCGGTATGCATCTATGTCATAATGATCAAAAATAAAAAATAAAAAAATTCACTTGTTTCAACACCTTCAGATAAAGTTTCTTCCGATTTTTCATTTCATTCATTCTTTTGTGATTGGAAAGTCACGGTTCGAGTCTGAAAAACAGTCTCTTTGCAAAAATGCAATTGTAAATCTGGGTACAATTAACCCTCCCCCTACTCTCAAAGTCGGGGAGCCTTGTGCATCAAGATTTGCCAGTTTTTTAAAGATAAAAAATGATATTGACAGAATACATTAAATTCAATCAGTTCAGTTCTTTTGCAATTAATCCTGTCCACATGATGCAATCAGCTTCACCGGTTTAATCATCAAGAGTGAGCTTTATCAATGGTTAACAACAGCAATGCAGCACCCACTAGTATCTGTTGTGTTCGTTTAGGCCATCATAGAATAAATAACCAATGCAAATTAAGCCAGCAAATTCTACACCAACTCATGCAGCAAAAATAGGCTTAACTTTGAAAATCTGGTCTAAGTTAGGAAACTTAAGGCTGAAATCCTATCCAATACCAAAGAAGCCTTTCAGTTTCCTTGTAAGGTTTATCAGCAAATGATTCAGAGAGAATTTTTGTTACAACTAAGTTCCTACAATGAGAGTTAGTCAGAAGAAGTTAATTGACTTCAGCATTGTGAGGCTATAAAATCAATTCTAGGGCCCTTCTTTATTAGCTTGTACTTTTAGGTCAAGTGGTTATCATGGTATCAGAAACTGATAGACACTGTGGCCTACAGTTCAATCCTTGCCATCCATAGTCTAGGAGCTAACTTTCCAGTATAAAGTTCAAGGAAATTTCTGTACTTATCCATACTTCAAGCCTAGGGGGCTTTCATGGGAGGTGTGATAAGGGTTATTAAAATCATTTTCGAGTCCTTGCCTAAACACTTAGGTTTTAGGTCAAGTGGCTCTATGACAATCTCTTCTGGAGTTTTTTCTTTTCCTCTTCTTTTTCTTCCCTCCTGTAAACCCTAGCTTGAATGGAAGATGTATGAGAAAAGAGTAGGGATAATGGTAAATCCTGATATCACAAATTAAAAAGAAAGGTTCCAGCTCATAGGAAGCATTGTTTTCATTTTGACATAATATTTAAAAATGAAATATAGGACAGGTAGTTTTTATATATTACTAGGGTATGACCTGAAATGAACATAATCCAATTCATCAGAAAAAGATAGACAGTGATGCTTACAATTGAATATTGCTACCAAACTTGATATTATCTATCTATCTATCAATCCCTCCATCTGTCTTCTAAGACCCTAAATATACAGCATGCCAACAAACAGTTCTGTTACTCAAATCAAATGTATATATCTCAAAATGCTATCTTGCAATCTCTAACCTTCTATCTTCTTACATATAGTATCTGTGGACTGCTACACTAGTGTTTTTACACTAACATCATTAATTTATTTAATTTGACAACAGACTGGGAAACTCACTCTACAAAGTGATGTTTATGCTTTTGGTGTTGTTCTTCTGGAGCTTTTGACCGGACGTCGAGCAGTAGATCTAAACCAGGGTCCTAGTGATCAGAACCTTGTACTACAGGTAAGAAATGTACACATAGGACATCGTTCAAGTAAGAGAAGTGATTTATTCAAAGAGTGAGAAGAACAAATCCTAACATTTGATCATGCATGTATAATCTAGATACAAACATGAGGCCGTTTGACTTTTTTATGTGATCATGTGATTAATAAATAACTTATAATCTTGACCATCCATCCATGTGAGATTGAATGGTTAAGATTAGCACCTCTTACAAAAAACTAGTGTTTTCACATGATATGCCCCAATATATGTGTTTGTATATTTTCTTATTTCAAATGATTCTGGTTCACAAGTTTCAGAATTTTAGACTCATACAACAGCAAGACTTTAATAAGTTTGACATTCATATGTAGGTGAGGCACATACTAAATGACCGCAAAAAGCTCCGTAAGGTGATAGATCCAGAGATGCCTCGAAATTCTTACACCATTCAGTCTGTAGTCATGGTTGCCAATCTGGCATCAAGATGTGTCCGCACTGAGAGTAACGAGAGACCTTCGATGGCAGAATGTGTAAAAGAACTCCTAATGATTATCTATACAAATTCAAAAGGCTTGGGAATGGTTATGCATAGTTTGAGAATGATCTAGTGAAATCACATGTTTAGACACCGAATCATGATGATTTCTTATTGACAATAAAAAGGTCAGCTCTATTCGGAAGTTCTTCCAATGTTTAGACACCAAGCAGATTAATATATGACCACGAAGTATTTTGCATGATCTTGTACAAAGCATAACTGATATGGATGATCTTATAAGAGATGAGGAACTCAATCCACTGTGGACAAACTGAAGGAGCATTTCCATTTCCCTTTTCAACCCCACTCCCACCCTTGTGCTGCTCTCACCCCTTTCTGCTCACATGACAGGAGTACCTAAGAGACCACAACAAGAATAAACCTCTTAGAAAATGTACTCTAACCTCCTAATATTATGATTTTGTTTTGGCATGGTTCAAGAGATTCCATATGCCATGTTGTTCAAACATTGAGATTGATATATAAACCATAGATCCATACATAAACCACTGTTTTGATTATATTGAAGAAATCTAGAGTAAATATGATTTGTGTTTTTCCATGCAACAGAAATGTTCCTGGGTTCTTCAAGAAAGATCCATGTATAACATGGTATTTTATGACAAATTACCAGCTATACAATCTTTTTCATCACTTGGTTGTCAAAGCCAGATAGGGAAATCAAGAGTTTAAAATGTATGTTGTAATTTACCTGTATCACAACTTGTCTCTGCCCTACAGAAAAGAGAAACAAATAAGGATGCCTGAAACAACTCTCCATTCTCCAGTCAAACTTAAAACCACCATGATCATCTTTGCTACCATTGCTGAAACTGAAAACGCACAAATACAATAAGAAACTTTATCATACGACATATTTGAGTATAAGATCATGTGGAAGCTAGACATAACATGAACGACCTTTTAAGCAATATGAAACAATGGCAACATTACCTTAACAAAATATTTCGCAACCCTTATACAAATTCATGTTGTCTTTTACTCATCAGAACCAGACAGATTTGTGTCTGAAGGCATACTTAAGAGAGGAAGTTTCTTGCACATCAAGTGCTTGCGTCTCTGCAACATCAGCAGGACTAAAATACTATCTGTCTTCACAATTTTGTAATCTGCTTTTGTATACATGTTAAGTGGAGCTGCATCAATTATTCTGCAGTGTAAGTAAACCTCTCTTGAAGAATTCATCTGAGAAATTAGTTCCTCACTTGCCTTTAGAAGATGCCAGCCAATGCCCCTCCTGATGGGAATTATCAGAAACATACACTAAGCAAGTTAGCATCCAGTTACATTGAGGTAACTATACACACACTCCCTCGGTTTTTGTATTTCATCAAAAGACATACTAAGTGTTATAAAAAGTGAGCTAATATGGGGATTTTGGGATTAACTTGATCATAAACTTGGATGCTTAAAGCAGTTATCATAGGCTTTTCTACAGCATGCATTCACTCAAAGAAAGCGGACATTGTATACGTGCAGAATTATGCTCGGAAATAAGAATAACGTTGTTATCACAAGGATCATGTCAGTCTCTCATTGCAGCTAAAAGATTTAGTTAAATAGGTCTTTATTAAATTCCAATATCATTGATGGTAAAATAGGCAGCTTAATTATTTAAACTGCAGGTTTCCCCTAGTCAAATTGCTACTTATGAAAACGGCTTCAGATTACCCTAGATGGAAACATTTAGAAATTTAAGATAAGTTGAACATAAACCCCAGATTAACAACTTATTTTTTCCCTGACAAGAATAAGTTAAGACTTTGAAATACTATTTATAGACCCATTACTCAAGATCTAATCAAACTATTAAAGTTTCCACCCTGTTTTGTGCCTAATTAAGTTCAAGATCCAACTCAACACTCAATTTCTTGAACAGGCACACTGTGTGGGTGCACAACAACTAATAGAAAGTTACATCTTTCAAATTTGGGTCCCACCATTTAACGTTTGTCAAAACAACTGAAAATGATTATTTCTACCAAAAATTGATAAAAGCATAACACTTTGAATTAAATTAAAAAAATTATATTTTTTTTTTAGTAAATGAGATTTCTACTCTAAATGACTAAATATATGTATATACCTCCTGAGAGACTTTTGCACAGCCATGTTACAAATGTAAGGGGAATCCTTGGGAGGTGTAGGTGATGGAAGAGAAGCATTGGCACCCATTTTGTCAAAACAAACCTCAACAGTCCCTGCTAACTGCACTTGTGGTTCTTCTTCTTCTTGTTCTTCACCATCACCATTTACCACTCCCCTGTAAAACCCAATAAGCGTGGCCATGTGGGGCATTAGCGTTCTTCGTTCAATCAAGTACTGCTTCACCAGAAACCCCAACAAGTTCACGTAGCCTTTCGGCAACAGCATCGACTCAGCAAACGACTCTGCGAGTAACCGCACGGTGAGGTCCATCTCATGGTCCCTCATAACCCGAACCCACATCGACCCAGATTTCAGTTCCTGGTAATACACGAAGCTCTCGAGGGACTTGAGCTTCTGGAGCTCCTCGTCGCTCAGGAACCGACCCGTGCGAAACGGGTCGTCGAGCGTCGCCGAAGAATGGGAATGCGAAGATGAGATTTTGAAGGAAGGAGAGGGGTATTTGTGGAAATTGGGAAGTGGGTATTTGTGGGGGGGAGTTGAGAAAATCAAGTGACGCGCTTTGGAGAGAGTGGTGGCGGGGACAAAGCGGTGGTGGAGATTTTGAGGGTCTAAGGGGAAGGAGAGTGAAACAGTTGCAGCCATGACGATGGGAAGCGTTTGTTGCAGTTGCAATCTATCTTATCTATTTACATCAAAAGAATCACTATGTATTTACATTTTGTGCCGGGTGTATCAAACTGTACAAACTAACTAGTTTAAATTGTGTTCACCGAACCGAAATTAATCCAAAATTGAAAATCGAAAAAAAATTATATATTTTAATTGAATTAGATAATTTTTTTATTTGGTTGATGAAAAATCAATTCAATACAAATCGATATAATATATTATGCATTTATTATTTTTAAAATTTAGCTCGTTGTTTTTTGTAGAGATGAAATTGTAAATATTATTGATAGTAACTACTTTATTTTACTCTACTTTAAAACTTGTTTACTTTGAAAACTTTAATTTTTCAATGGTTTGTAACTTTGTATGACTTCATTTTGATATAGCTACAGATTTATATGGATAAAATTTTAGGTTTTTTGAAAAACCAAAAATGGATTCAATTCAAATCAAATAAAATTGTATTGGATTAAAAAAAAATCAAATCGAATGAATGATTAAAGGTGTGCATGACAACCATTATGTTCTTTGGTATGACAAATATTATGTTCTCTAGCACTGTTTCGTACGTGTCTTGGTGGCACAGATTATGAGAGAAAAATATGTTTGATAATATGTCTGTTTTTATTCTGAAAAAAAAGAATTATGTTAATAACATAACAAATAATAATAAAAAATCATTACTATTAAACATAAAAAAAAATCGGATCATCACTTTCTTTTTATATGGCGTGGTGGTGGTGGCGGTAGCTGTGGTGGGTGGTGGTGGCGTAATGATGGTAATGGCGGTGGTGGTTACGATGATAGTGGTTGTGATGGTAGTGGTGGTGTGGAGCTAGTGGTGATGGTGACATCTTGGTGGTGGTGATCGTGATGACGATGATGGTGGTATAACAATATCGGCGACAATGACGGTAGTAGTAGCAGCAAGTGATTGAGAAAGACAGACAAGTATTTTTTATTTTGTGCCCAAGAATAAAATTAAAAAAAAAATTGATTCTGTAAAGATTGTCATACACATACTAAATGATCGAACTAAGTCAGATGATTTTTATTTTAAAACCGATCTAATCTAAACCGTAAATATATTAATTTTTTCAACAGAGAAGTATATAAACCTGCTCCGATAGTGTTTAATTAATCAATTTAGTTTAAGAATATATTTTAACACTACATATATTGATGCGATTGTCCACGAAATTTTTTTATTATCATTATTATTATTCATTGATTATATAAATAGAAAACTTCTTTCTATTAAATTTTAATACAGCCAGTGTTTCATATACTCGAATTTGAAATGATTAAGTTAAAATAATTTCTTACCCACTAATCCACATATTTGGTAATAAATATGAAAGCTTTAAAGAGCCATGAAATTGGGAAAAGCGTATTTGATGTAAAATAAAATAAAATAAAGAGCATTTGCGTTTTTTTTTTTACCAAAATAAAAAAGAACGCAGACTACGCTATAAATACTAGCATATGTTGGCAATTTTCTGAGGTTGGATCTATTAAAATAAACTCTGATAGTGCGGCTTGTGACAATCCAGAATTTGCTGTTTGTGGAGGTCTGATTTGGGACGCAAGAGGTAATTGGTTATGTGGATTTGCAAAACGGTTAGGTAGTTGTTCGTCTTTTAAAGCTGAGTTATGGGTTATCCTTTGTGGTTTGAAAGTGGCGTGGAATGAAAGATACCAAAATATGATTTTAGAAAGTGATTTATCTAGTGCAATCATTGTACTCACTTTTGAAAGTGCAGTAGTCTGTGAGATTCAACTTGTTTCTTGTATACAGACATAGCTTCACAAAAACTGAACATACGTATAAGGAAGAAAATATGTGTGGCTCGCAAATTTTATTTTGGATGATAAAGAACAAATTGATCAGCGAATGTTTCAAAAACCTCCGTGTGGAATTCAACTATTATATTTGGCTGATCTTGCTGCTGTTGCTGCTGGGAACCGTGTAGTAGTTTACTCTTGATAGAATATTTTTTGTTTATTTTTGTGTTATGTTTTGATTTTCTTTGGATTTGGTTGTCTTCGTTTTGGGCCGCTGGCCCTTTTGTCTAACAAAAAACGCAGACTACGCATAAAATAACTAGAGATTGATAGTGAAAATATTCCGCACAACAGTGAAATAAGATGTGAAATTACAATTATGCACCTCTTCCCACTTTTTAACAATTAGAACCAATAAATGTTTATCGATTTATACGAATATAACAAAATAATGTTACTCGTTAAAGATATGGTAAGAGTAATTTTAATTTTGTTGTGCCTATCCAAGAACCTAATGAAGGTCAACTGCATTTGCTCTCAACTGCACAAGCCATAGAGTTGAGGCAAGTTAGTCTATATTTAGAGTGCCAAAGGATGTCCCATCACGGGCTTACAAGGTTAAAGCCGACAATATTGTCCGTGGCGACAAATATTTTAGCTGTCCAGAACTTTACAACATGGATCATTTGATAAACGAGATGCTATTGCATTGCATCCAAACATACTTGGAATATACACACCCACGAGTTCCACCGACGAGGGTGTTTGACCCAGCCGGAGTCGAAGCTGTTACATATAAGACATGTTTGTTTGGCCTTTTAAAAATATATATATATATTTTCATCGTTATAATAGAAATATTTTTGTCTACCATAGTCACAAATTTTTTTATCTTCCTGAAAAATTTCTTTCTTTCCTTTTTTTAAATGAGTGGATCCCCAGTTTATTGTGTATGTGATGGACAAAATTGTCTGTCATTGCCTCAGATCCGAGAGAGCCTTTAAAAAAAGTAGCTTTTGTGTTTTACTTATTTTAGAAATATTTTTTACAAAAATTAAAGTTATTTAAATTTTAAAAAAAAATATTTAACTTTTGAAAAAAATATTTGACTTTTATTTTTTTTAGAAGTTAAAACTTTTGGCTTTATTGTGACTTCTGTTTATTTGTTTTTTAAAAACATACATTCAAATAAAGTTACAATAAGTAGTGCTTTTTTAAAAAAAAAAACTCAACCAAATGATATCGTTGAGAATTACATTTTCAATGTGTGGTCAATTTCACGACTCCTCACTATATTCATTTACGAGGTTTGCATTTGTCATTTAACATGACACAACAAATTTTTCTACACACAATATTTTGTGGGACTCACTTTTTGAAGAAAAAAAAAATTATGACACGCAAAACGAATCTCTATAACATTACACAATCACTTTTCCTATAACATAACTCTTATAAAACCCTTTATTTATATTGTCTATATTATCCAAGTCACACGTGACCAAAAAAATACATGTGTGAAGTTCTAAGGGCAGTTCAACTGTCAAAGTTGAGTGTCGAAAGTTGCTTGATCGGGGATTTGATAATTGGTCCAAGTAATTATGGAATCTTTTTGGAGCCATAGGGAAAAGGCTCTAACTTGATGAGGTTTAATATCATCATTTTTTTGATGACATAGCTCAATGCATCGTTGTTCCAACGAAAAGAGGTAGGATTTGGGGTAGTACTTTGAGTATAAGATTATTAGAGAATGTTGAATGAGATAACTCCATGTTTCTTCGGAAAAAAAACACATATGTGTAATATTTTATTGTATTACTTTAATAAAATATTTAATTTTACATTCATTCAATTGTTTATTTTTAAAATTACATTAAAATGGTAAAAAGACTTGTTGAATAGCTTCAAACCAATTTATGGAGTGCTCCTCTATAAAGGTAAATCAAGAGGCTTAATGTCAATGATACAATTTGATAAAGAAAAAAGACTCAATTAAGTCTAGCGTTATTCCTGACACGAACATCTAGCAGTTTTAATAAGAATTTAAGGGAAAAGCATCATTTTAAAAATTTTGGGCAAAAGAATTGTCCAATTAAAATTGATTGGATAAGTTTTTTCAAACTAATGCAGTTAAATATGTCACTTATATAGTACTAGTTCCCTCAGGCGTCAATAATACTGATGAGACTCATGCCACATCAGCATCACGTAGATAGTCTCGTTACCGTAAAACTTTTGAAGGCTATAACTTTTGATTCGGGTACCCAAATCAGATAATTTTTTTTATTTCACATAACTTTTTGAGATCTACGCAATGACACCTAATTTGACATATTTTATCTCCCACAAACATAGTTTGAATTTGTAATAATTGTACCATACAATCACAAAAGCGTTTAAATCCAGAAGATGGCACATGCGGCAGCTCATGATGTTAGTTCGGAAAAAACTCGGGTTCTTCTGAATTTAAATGATATTGTAATTGTGGAGGAAATTTTTTTTTAAATATTGATTTTCTAATAACAAATTACGCATACGTAGTCGTTTTGAAATTATTTACGCAAGCATATCACCCAAACATGCCCTTGGAGGGCGTGACCATCTAGAGAGAGACGCCCTCCAAGGGCGTGTTTAGGTGCTATACTTGCGTAAATAGTTTCAAAACGACTACGTTTGCGTAATCTATTATTAAAAAATAATATTTAATTTTTTTTTGCCTAATTGAAGAACTATTGTTGCAAATTTAAATTATGTTTGTGGGAGATAAAATATGTCAAATGAGGTGTCATTGCGTAGATATGGAAAAATTATGTGAAATAAAAAAAAATCACGGTCTTCCGAAGTTTATCCAAAGTTATCTGATTTGGATACTCGAGTCAAAAGTTATGGTCTTCCGAAATTTTTCGATAACGAGACTATCTACATAGCATTGACGTGGCACGAGTCCCGAGTCCCGCCAGTATCATTGACGGGACTGTCCCGTCGGTATAAGTGACATGTTTAACTGCATTAATTTAAAAAAAAATTATTCAATCAACTTTAACTGAATCATTCTTTTGCCAAAAAAATTTAAAATGGTGCTTTAGCTAGAATTTAATGATATTAATTAGTTTTACATTTTAAATTTTGTTGGGTGGAAACTGTGTGGGATTATTTTCTTCATTTTTTGGGTATATCAGGTCTGTTATTCTCATAAGTATTAACTTTTTAAGATGAGTATTAATTTAAGTTCTCTCCCCCTCTACTCACTCTGTGTCT